CCTGTAACTAAATTGATAAAGTTTATGGCTTGCTCTGTTTTTTATTACAGGAGGATGTCTTGTTAGGCTTGAACTATAACAGAACACACTCAAATGATTCATATCTTTTGAACGTTGAAATACTATCCAAAGTATGAATATAATAGAAAGGATATATGTGTATGTCATCTCTGTCACAGTAATCATAAGCCCTGAACATGCTTTACATTTATTACATCCTACATCATTCTTAAACTGATCCATGAGCCCCAAGGGAGTTTGCATTTCCATTTTTGCATGTCCTGCTGCCACCTAATGGCAGTGAGCTCCACAGGCACCTTCTGTGCCAAAAGAAGGGAGAAACCCGGTTCTGAAGCCGTAGTGTGCAACCCTGTAGAGCAAGCAGATAAAAGTACAAAGTACTCTATTTTTTAGAGTCATAAAAATCTTGGAAAATTTAAGTTAATGAAACTTAATATTAATTAATAAGATTTTTGTCCTGCACAAGCTATTTAGAGTCATATGTAGTACCTTAGGAGCGTGACACCATGTTCCCCGCCCCTGTGAAGTTGCCAATCATGGTAACCCACACTAAGGGTTACCCAACAGTGAGGTTTTTTGAAGTGCAAAGCAACTAAGTCCACATTGCCACGGAGCCTCGGGGGGGCCCGTGCACTCAGACACCCTCGAATTACTGCTGTGGAAGGTATTCAGCTGCAGAAACACTGGGTTTAGCCTGCAGGTAATGCAAAATAGCACTCATTAACTTTGCCGCAAAACTAGTTGGGTTGGAGAGATGTTATGTATGTATGCTTCTACACATGTATCTAGAATATACATATAGCTGTAGACATAAATGAGTCCTAGGGTCAGAGAAGCCTTGGCTTTGGAAATCCTGTGCTAGGTCTCGGCCCTTCCTGAAGCAGGACAGCTGAGATGTGACAATTATTGCTCCCAACACCCTGCCACGGAGGAATAAATCAAGCCTCTTTGTCCTCAGCTCTGACAACCCACCTCTCCTCATGAGCTGACAGCTTGTGTTCCAGGTCACCGAGTCAGATTCATCCTCCTCTTAGCCACTAATTGTGTACCAATGTACAGGTCAGATTACATCTGTATTGGGTCTCATATGCGTGGCCACAGATCAGTCAGTGGGAGGTCTGTAGAGAATCAAATCAGCACATAACTAATGAGCCATGAGCTGGGCCTCATCGCTGCCATCTTAAGGAATTACCTGGATTAACAGGCTGACAAAATATGACTATTCCAGTGCTCTTCTGTAGCAGCAAACCAGCACTGCCCCGCTGACCTGCGTACCTTCCCGAGATTGCTCACTGGCTTGGTTCCCAAGTACGCATTAGGTTTAGATCTGGCTGTTGATGACGACTTCTTGACCTTAAAAACTTCTATACGCTTCAGTCGATTTTTTTTTGTCCTGTTCCAACACGGACCAGTTTCACTGAGTCCCTGGAACTGATTTCCAGGGGAAGTGGTTTCTTTCTTTGCAGTTTAGGCACTGGAGGAAGAAACAATGATAAAAACACATGGAAGCTCTGCAGATGCATGTTAACTAAACACCAGTGCTTTAGGCTGAATTATCTTTCACTGGGATATTATCGTTGGGACAAGCTAATAAATCTCATAGACGGTGACCCACTAACCCTGCTCTGTGGGATTTGATAGCATATATGCTAGTATCTAATTTAAGATGCCAATAACTGCGTGTTATTGGTGACAGAGCCAGGATCCCCACATTAACCAGAAATCTTTTAACCAGTGGGTGACCATTGTCCCTCCTGAACAGACAGAAACAAAACCCTCTTAAAACGTTCCACTGGATAGGGGCATTGGGTTTAAAGCTGTGTGGAGAAAGCTAACTGCATTTCACAGACCGCTTAAACATTTGGTTCTGTTCAGATGAGGAACAAGAGCTGAACATCACCACAGTCATCTGCAAACTCCAGCTGTGCTCGGATCTGGGGGAAGACCACCAAGAGGGTCTATCTGGTGGATGTAGGGACGCAGCAACCAACAGCCTGGGCAGCTGACAGCGACGCTGGCTCTTTCTGAGCCTTTCCCACCATCCGCTGCGATCTCACTCAGCATCTCTGCAGCACTAAAACCCAACCACCACCGAGAGTTTCACTGGCATTTCTCCAGCCAGCTCCAACACTCCCCATTCAGTTATCTGTGTGTGGCTTCTATTTACGGCTGTACTTTCTCTCCCCTCCTCCACTGCTGTTACAAGGGTCCAAGTAGAAACACACTGGAGGGCTGATGGCGATGCCAACAGTTTTAGCTTCTTTTGCACGCATTTCATCAGTGATCTCTGCAATGCAGAATCAGGATTTTTCAGGCAAATGTCTCCATTTTGCCAAATACTGTTCTAAACAGACAACTGCCCTGAGAAGAGACTCATTTTTCTCTGAAATTACACTGTGGACCATTTATTCCTCTTGACCATCGCCATTTTCCAAGGCACCATGGCTACCGCACATCTCAGTCCTATACAGGGCTACCATCAGCCTCCACCAGCAGTGGTATCGGAGCTCGGCCAGTTTTTATCTGTTGAAGGTGCCAGCCACGCTATGCAGTTACACAGAACACGTATCACCTTGAGACACAGATGCACCTAGTGAAACAACAACATTTTGTCTTTATTAGGAGTTCCCATGGTAATATAACACAGAGTTCTTAAGGAATAAAACACAAGACTTGGGGTTGGGGTGGGGTTTTTTGCCATTGAGACAATGGTCAAATATCAGTACTTCTTTTTGTCTACACACAGGATCAGCTTTAGCACTTACAGCTCCTCCACTCATGGTTCACAATCACAAATCCAAGGGTTAAATCCAGCTAGTATTAAATCCTACTTTTTTTTTTTATTTTTAGAGCTTCAAGTCACTGCGGTTAATTAATTAAGTCATCGTCTTTTTTTTTTTTCCTTTAAGTATTTTCATATGACATTCATTAAACAGACACAAAGCAGACGAGCTCTCACAGGAAAAAACATGCTTACATAGCCTGCAAAACTTTTTTTGTGATTTTTTTTTTTCCTTTTGAAGAACAAATTAAAACTAAAAAGTCATCATGAGTCAGTGAAGGAAAAAAAAAAGGAAGACTTAAGTGAATACTGAAGAGCCGCAAGTGTTTCGTAGAATTGAAACAGATCTGCAATTCTTTTTTTTTCTCCCCAACTCGTTCAAATTGATTTTAACATACAGGTGAAAAAAAATAGCTGCAATATATATTAAGTTCACGGATTACTTAACAAACAAAGTGCAAACTCTTTTATGCAAAACTAAAAGACCCAAGAGTTAAACCTAAATGCAAAATGCATGGATGAATATGGCAATGTTTTTCTTAACTTTTGTGTTCAAAGGGGCCTAAAGGAATCAGGTGCTGAAGCTGGGAGGGTTTGGGTACCTGTGTCGCTTCCAGATCCTTTGCAAATCCCAGCATTGATAATTCATAGCAACAAATTTGGTACTTTTTTCTTAGAAGCCTTCATATATTTAGTTTTTTTCACTACAGGAACCTGTAAACACCATTTAAGAAAATACTCACAAATATGGAAAAACAAGATCAATGTACGTGGCAAAGTACAAACAGAAGAGAAAGCAGAAGATGCAGCCAAGTGCCAGGGCATACAGACAGTGGAAGTAACGCTGGGTTTACTGCGTGTGGAAAAACTCTCTGTGCTAAGAGACAGGCCAAGTCCTTGGGACCGCCTAGCCCTCCAGCTAAGTGGGAATCTAATGGAGCAGATTTGTTCTCCGTGTCCTGAAAATAGTAAGCCTCCAATACCTGGGCTAAAAGACTTTCAATCCCAGAAGGTACTTCAATTCCTAGATCCTGCTGACTGTCACAGAAGCTCGGACTCCTAAATTCATTCAAAGACCACTCATGGCATCTGGTTTCTCAAATCTGAGGCAGCAGGCGTCTGAGGAAGGGTGGGAAACCATCAGGCTCTCTCTCGACTATTTGCACAAAGGCAGATTCCTGAAGGAGTGAGTGACTGTGAAATCCGCACTGTCTGAGAGATTCTCAGCTGCTGTTGACCCATCGAGCTGCTCTGAGGGCTCCCAGCTGCAACAGCTGGGCATCTGGACTCGAACAGCAACTGCCACAGATGCTCGGGCACACGCTCAAGTGGCCGGCCTTTCGATGAGAGCTAAAGATAAGCTCTCATAAAGTTTTAAATAACCACTCACCGATGGCCAGGAAGAGGGAATGTGGCTGCTACAGAAACCTTCCAGGCAACACGTCGCTCTTTGCCCTTGGCCCCCTGCTTATCGATTTCCACCTCCAGGAACAGAAGACAAACTTAACTGCTAAAAACTTCTCAAGAGACCCCGTCCCAGCTCCTCAGCTGGTATCCAGCCCGTCTGTTCGCACCAGCTCAAGGCCTAGTACACTGAAGAGAAGATCATAGCTTATGAACCTGCTCCACGACCTCCTAGTGCAGCTAAACGGCAAGCGTTGGCTGGAATGATGCAACCTAAAGATACCTGAAGTAGCAGGGTGGAAGTGGCAGCAACACTGGCGGGAGACTGGAACTTGAATGAGGTTCGAAAAGGACTGGGAAGAACAGGGAGACTCCCAGTTCTCAGATAAGGCTTTGTAAACACAATGATACAAACATATTAAAAACACACACACAAACATTAAAAATAAAGTTTCCTCAAGGACCTAATTTGCAGCAAAATCCAGAAGGAAAAAAAGAAAGCAAAAACAAACCAACAGAACCGAAGTGCCCAAAGATTCTACCTCACCCGATGGCTGTGTGCGATGTGCTTTGTCAATTCCTAGTGCTGGGTCCTGTTTCTCTCTCTTGGCAGCAGACAGCTATTTCCTGACCTCAGAGGCAGTGGTGGGGAATGGTTACAGACAGGCTGGGATTCGTGTCCCTCCATGCTTGCCTAGCTATTCTGCTGGAACACAGAACCCTACAGAATATCCAGTTTAAAACCCTTCAACTACTCTTCTGCTTGACATTTAAAAAAAAAAAAAGAAAGCTATTTTTTACATTTATTATTTGTTTATTCCTTTTTTTGTGTGTGTCTTAAAGGCAGCTCCCGGGAAATTCACTTTGTCCTTCCTTTATTAAAAGAAAGATGCTGAATGGGACAGAGGCCACATATCTCAAACATCCTCTTTACATTTACTTTTGCATGTCAGAGGTGTCAAAACAGGGTTTATTTCTTTAAATGTGTAGGGGCTGATGGGAGAAGTGAGAGGGGTTGGTGAAGATGAGGAGGGAATCTGAGGGGACTGAAAGAGGCGCCTTACTTCAGCCCCCCCCCCCACTGGTTGCCCACAGTAACCGTCACAGGCTCTAAAAGAATCCAAAAGGGTCTCCAGGTGCCCCCGTCCCCTGGTCCGCAGGGAGGGCTGGGAAGGGCTCGGTCCTTAGCCCAAGCTGGTGATGTTGGCGCGTCCGCCGGGCGGTGCCACGATGCGCTGAGTCGTGCGGCGCGGGATGTTGTCGTCGATCTGTGCCCCTGTGGGAGAGAGAAGTAACGTCAGGTCCCCCCGGCCAGCCAGAGTCTGAGATGAGCGAGTCGCAGGGCGAGGGGAGTCAGCAGAGCACGGCTACACCAAAGCCCATCGAGTCCTCTTAGGCCAGGCTCCAACGACGTGCACCAAAATGCACCATCTTTGGAGGAAAAGCCCTCACTGGCCTCCAGTGCCTTAATTCTGCTGAAGCTTGTTCTGCATTAACATCTCCGCACCAAACACCTGAGCCACCCAGCCCTGCACAGAACAGAGCTGGCTAAATGGTTTTCCCTCAGCGAGCCTTTTTATAGTTTTCCCTTCTTGCGCTGAAACAGCACGCTGAGAAATCAAATCTGCCACATACCAGACCCACAGCTGGTCTCAGCTGGCAAAGCTCCGCTGACGTTGGTGCCATCTGCCCTCTTCAGACACCCAGCTGAGGACTGAGCCCAGAACGCAATGGGGTACTCAGCGCTCGTGCCAGGCATGAAAGTAAGTAGGACTTTATAATCACTCCTACACTGCTCTTCTTCCTTCCTGAGGGGTAACCTCCAAGCTAAAAACACATCACAGTCTCTCATTGCCTTCCAATTTCAGCCAAACTAATTCAGAGTATAAACAAGCCGTGATTTCAAAGCAATAAATAGTTTCGCCCTGTAAGATTATGTACCAGACAAGCTGAATCCAGACTGGTGCAGGTTCCTCACGGGTGGGGCCTGCTGTTTGGCAGGAGACGTCTTAGCTGAAGATGCTGGCGTGACGGTCTTCGGCGTCACTGACACTTCACAGACAGGTCCATCGTAGAGGCCTCGAGGCACACCCCGCAGCTCAGCCAGCTGAAAAACACAGAAGCAGGCAGCCTTCAGGGTCAAAACAGCCTTCCAAATAGACCTCAACAGCTGGCCAGATGCTGCTAAGCCAAAGACACACATTTCAAGATTTGTCTTTTATAATAAGAGGATTTGAAATCATACAAAATCTCCTCGGGTGGTCGCTGCTCTCGGAGGCAACATGGATAAAACAAAAAGTGCTCTGGGCTGCTGCGGCTCCAGCTCTCTGCTGGCTGGTGGGAGCAGCCTGCAGAAGGCAGCCAGTCTGTCCCCTGCATCCCAAGTTCTGTCCTTTAATGATCCCAACCTAACTGCCATCGTATTAAAGGCTCCTGACAACTCTCAAATGAAACCGATTACTCATCCCCAAAAAGCAAAACAATGCTGAGACAGAGGCAGGTCTGCATAAAGAGGAGCCAGGCCAGCTTCACGTCGCCAGCTCGGGAGCTTCAGATTGGGTTAAATGCAATTATTCCAGTTGAGATGCTGCCCAATTGCATTTACAGGTCAGATGCATATTTCTGCGGGAGATCAGCACGCAACAGAAACCACAGATCTGCTCTCCACAGTGCTAAATTATTTGAGGTTGTCATTTTGGTAACTTGCAATTTCTTCAAAAGAACAATTAAGGAAAGATCATTTGCAAGGAATGTGAAGATTACCTATGGTCAGCAGAACTAACACAGCTCTGGTTTTGTCCAGGAGAGGGCAACACTTCAAACATCAAAATACTTTTCTCCTCAGAAATCTGACTTCATCTAGAAATAACCTTCTTAAATTCTCTGCATTTAAGTTGCTGAGCTCAGTGTCACCCTCTCTGTCAGTTTTTACCAACTAAAGGCATATCAAAAGGCAGCTTCTGTTTTGAATGGGCGTGATTTACAAAAACACTTTTCCAACAATTTTAGCATCTCAAAAATAGAAAATTCTCACTTTTAAACAGCCAGTAGGCTGCGCCTGTGACTCACCAGTCACCAGACAAGAGCATCTGATCGTATCTGACAGAAGGGATAGCAGCATAATGTCTCTATTAACAATAAACCAGAAATCTAAATTGTTGCTGAAAGGTTTGACATATAAATGCTATCAATAACTTCTCTTGGTAATCCTGTGGCAGGAAGAGCCTGCCGGGTTATCTGCAGTTTCACTCGTGTCCAAACTGGACAGTTCCTGAACATGTTCTCTGTCTAGGTGTCCCAAGACAGAGAAGAAATAAAGGGCAGAAAAAAAAATTTGCAGAAAATCCAAGCTCACGCCAAAGCATATTCCTGTGATGACTCAAGTGAATAGCAAAAATGAAAGAGGAATGAGATAAATATGGCTCCTATCCAGGGAACATTTTCTGTTGCAGAAGCGTGTGTCCGCCAGCCAGGGGACAGCATCTGTTTTCCACCCACTTTAACTCAGGAGTTTCAGTGAGAGAACAAATGTGTACCCAACTGTTTACACTCACCCTGCTCCTGGCTTTGATGCGCTTGTAAACGAAGTCAGGGAACGGTTTCCTGGGGATATACCGTCCCGATCCCTCGGTGACGTGGAGATTCCCATCCTCCAGTACGATCTTCCCCTGGCTGATAACCACCAGGGGAGAGCCGCGGCACTCCATGCCTTCAAAGATGTTGTACTCCACAGACTAGAACACACAAAAAGGCAACATGAGGCAAACATGTTCATCCCAGCAAAGCCTGCTGTGCTTTAATTAGCAATCACCAGTCATGCTAATCACCCAAATTTTAAGGACAGATGGAAGCAAACTCAACAGCATTTACCTGAGTTGTGTATGCTGTGGTTTAATAGAAAGGCTGGTCTTTATTACCAATCTAAATTTATTGAGGATTTACTCATGCAAAATCTCCATTGCAATGAGAAGAAATACAGTTTCAAATGAGAATACCTCAAACTCCAGCTGTTCAAATGCCTTTAGGCACCCATATCTTCTGAACTGCAGGGGATTAGAGGCCAAATCAAGTTTTATCTGAGTTTCATACCAAAAATAGTGGCAATTTTGAAAAGCTGTATTTCAAAACAGTGTTTTGGTTGATGGGTCAGGGACCAGGACAATCTTGTTTCACTCTAATGGGATTGCTCATCCTCAATTAACAGGATTGGAAACGTTACACCGTGCAAAAAAAGACAAGTTTTAAAGGAATCACTGGTAGATGTCCCACCCGTGAAGCACCTTGGAATGAGCTGTACTACAACCATGTTATTTGGGGACTGTTACTCTAGCGACCATCTCTTGAAACAAATCCAGGTCTTTTTTACTGAGTTAATAACAGAGTTTGCTCTTGAAGTGTGTTATAAGTATGGGTAGGCTTGACTGCAGATTTACAATTAGCTAGAATGGCGGTTAAACCGACACTGAACTGGGTCCAGTCTGAAAAAAAGTTGTGGTGGCAAAGGAGGAGGCCTGGTTAGCAGCTTACGAATTAGGCTGGTTCCAAGAACAACACTACCTCCCTCTCTAGCTCCTAATGTTTCCATGCCAGACAGTGGCAACAGCAGTGGGAACTCTTGGAAAATGTCCGTATGTTGCTCTAGCATTTAAAAATGTAATGATCATCTGATGCCACATAATCACTACATCTCCTTGTGTCGCAGCAACTGCTCTGCCTGACTTTCACAGGGGCCTTTTGTTTTATACTTGACCAAATTAGCATGCCTTGCTTCTAAAGAGACCACACCTATCAACTTTTTCTCAAACACAAGGCACACGTGCAGTGTGAGACACAAAACACCCCAGCAGGTGCAACGCCAGGTATAACAGGCAATGTCCTGAGAGAGGGGAAGAGGTCAGAGCTGTAAGGAAAAACGCTGCTGTCTCTTAGACAGCCCTTCAAGCTCTAATCAAACAACTTGAAAACGAGAGCCCTTCATCCTCCATAGTCTTGGCACCCTGCTCGAACTTAAAAGATGCTGCCTTTGGCAACAGCTGATCACCGAGTGCCGAGGCCTCTTCGACGGTGCCTAGACTAAGACTAGACTTTTCGGAGGAACTGCAGTCCTTAGCCTATAAAACATTTCTGAATGGTTGCTCCATGGTGGATCTGGCTCTCCTTCAGCCTAGCCCAGATCTATGGCAAAATCATGGAGTCAACTTTGATTGTACTGGAGCATATCCACAAAAGATAAAGTCTCCAAGTTTTGTGTCAGGAAATTTAAAGAGTCCAATTCATTTCCTAAAGACAACAGCTATAAAATGGCCATGATTTTCAAATACTCCTTCCAGCTCTCCAAGCCATTCGTAAGCACAAACCCAGGTTCACACTGCTAAATTTGGCACCTAATAGCGGGATGTCCCTGGGCTCCCTCCTCTTGTTCCTCTCCAGACTGGAGGCGTGAGGAGTCTGGAAGCACCTCTAAGGTGACCGAAGTGATCAGACTTCCGAGTCTGGATGCCTCTGTTAGATGTCTCAGCACAGGCAGGATGAATCCAGGCCATCTGTGACCAATTCTGACACAGAGTTCAGTCACAGGGAAGTGAACCAAACCTTTAAAAAGAAGTTTCTTTGTGAATGTGCCCAGGGATCCAAGTGTGGAAGAAAATTTTGCTCCTTCAGCTCCAGAGTGAATGAAAGCATTCACGGAAAAAAGAACAAGGAGTTTTTTCCAGGGAAACATTCCATAGGTTCATCGCCAGCAGTGAAACAAGTTGTCAACAAATGCAAACAGTGGTTGCTTTCTCCGAGACAGCGCTCGAATGTCACAGGGAAACTCCAACCAGCCCTTTGCACTGGGACCATTCTGCAGCTTCCCACAGGGCAGGACAGCTTTTTCACTGCCAGGTATAAGATACAGGACAAGGCTGCAGGTCACAAGCAAACAGTGCCTCTAACAGTGCACCGCAACAGAAACGGGGAGAAGGTCTGGTTAGTCTGGGCGCTGCCTTGTGCCTCCCTGTGCCAGCTAACATTGCTATGATCACCAGTAAAATCATGTCTAAACTTCACACACATGGGCCAGATCAGTACGTGGTGTAAATCCACTCGGACACATTGATCTGGATCAGGTCTCCAGCTAAGGTGTCCACAAGCTGACAAGCCTCACCAACCCCAACAAGAAAAGTGGCCATTCACATTCCCACTGCTAGCGAGTCAGAGGGTCAGAAACGACACATTGTGATAAGAAGCCTTTTGATATTTCAGAAGATTTGAAGAGCTTTCTGTGTGCTCAGATCTAAGCATCCCACACTCAGACAGAGCAGACAATCTCTTTGCTCCGAGGGGAATCTCTGGGTATACATGTGATTTCAGATTTGGACTCAATCGTCTTCTCTTCTGCTCACACAACTGAGCTGTACTGGATATAAGACCAGAGAAGGCTTGGGGCATGGGGAAAACAAAGCCCCGAGTTGTCATGAGCTTTAGCTCTTGGCGGCACAGTCTGGCATTGAAGGAAGAGAGGAGGAAATGAGCAGCAGAGCTCACATCATAGAAAATACCCTTACTATGTTATGAGTCTTGGCAGAGATTGTCTTGACGCTGTCAGGATCCCAGATAACCAGATCAGCATCCGAGCCCACTGCAATACGGCCCTTCCGCGGGTACAGGTTGAAGACTTTAGCTGCATTTGTGCTGGTCACAGCGACAAACTGGTTCTCGTCCATCTTGCCAGTCACCTAGGGAAAGCCAAACGGAGTCACTGCATTAGCCAGGTGGGGACCACTGCTAAAAGCAAACAGCTGACAGCACAACATATTCCCAGTGATCTCTATAGGGGCAAAAACCTCAAGCGCAAGAACCGTAACAAGCGCCTGGGAGGAGATAACACCACCCTGCTGCAGCTCTTTCAGCTCTGAATGCCTATGACACACGCGACATACCACCGCCTTATCCCAGATGATGGACATCCTCTCTTCAGTCCCATTGGTTCCTTCAGGGATCAGGGTGAAGTTGTCCTTCCCAACAGCTTTCTGAGCAGTGTTGAAGGTGCAGTGGGCACTGCCAGTAACTTGGAGGTCTCCACTGGAAAAGACAACGATAAGTATTTAAGATATTTTATTGTCATAAGTTTACTCCTAAAGGTAAAACAGCCTTTTGCTTGCTGGCAAAAACAGCTATTATTTTTATCGCCCGCTTGTCTCATGACAAGCACATGTGGTATGAACACAAAGAGCTCTACTCACCAGGACAGTAGCGAGTTGAGAAAATCAGGAGTAGTTGGGTCAGGACTCAGTGGTGGGGAAGTAACAAAAGCTGCTGCCTTAGCCCAATTCTTGCTCCAGTAATGAGATCCATCGGTACCCAAGCTGGCTGTGATGGGCTCTCCATACACCACAGTGCCTACAGGACAGGAATATAGACAAATCCACTGTGAGCACCAAGCAGTACGCATCTCCAGCCTGGCTTCCAGGCACAAAGCATCCTTCTGAAACAGGACACATTGGGTCAGTTATGCCAGCATTGCACACTGCAGGGTTTCCTGGTACTTCCTCTGCAGTATGTTATCACACAGTGTCTTTATTATCAACTTGGATACTTGGATGTTTGGATGCTTATTCTGAGGGACTGATTTTTGAAAAATGCTCAGTTTTTCTTTAGAGACCTCGAGGTAGGCATGTAAAATTAAGAGCTTGCCCTAAGTAACATACTATAGTTTCAGAGAAGCCTTGAACAGGCCAGGAGTTTAACGATGTCTGATCATCTGGTTATGCAGGCCAGTGAATTCAGTCCAATGGTTTCTCTGAGCAGGCTCTGTGCTTAGATCAGGTAACAAAAAACTCCTAACAGGAAAGTTTCCTGCCTACACAGAAGGCCCATCACAGAGGAAAAATCAGTGTTTCTGGTTCACAAACTCAGCTCAGGGAAACTGAGTGCTTCCCCCAGGGGTACACGGTAAACCTGTGGCAGATCTAGGAAATGAAACTGGATCTTCTGAGTCTCTGTCCAGTGCGCTAACCACCAGTGCATCCTTCCTCTTCATTAACATTTTTGGAACCACATGAAGGAACAGTGGATCTTTAAGGCCACGATACTTTGCAAGCTGGAATGCACCAGAAACATCTGCCCACCAAGCAGATGCAAGATGGTGCAACTTCAAAAGCTGTGAAAGCTAGCAGCCTGACAGATCTGCTCACCAAATGAAACCTTCCTGAAATCTTGAAGTGTCTGTCCATCTGGCTTCTGAGCCCAGACACTTCATGTACCCGTGTCTGCCTGCAAAAGATGTGGGCAGTTAAAATATTAACCCTAAGTACTTTAATCAGAAAAGACCGGCAAAGGCAACCTCAGAACTGGTCAGCAGGGTCTTACACACCTCACCACACAGAGTGAAAAAATATGATCCTTCTTTAACCATATTGTCTGAGCTACTGTTACATCTATAGGCTCTCAAGCTAGCTGGGAAAGAGCGCATTAGCTGAGGCAGAACAACACATTAACTGGCTTCATGCTGCTTCCAGGACCACACTGCAACAGGAGGTGTAGGAACAGCCTCCGTCAGAGGGGATCCACCAGCTGAGGAAGCCGCCGTCTGACATCACTTGCCACAAATAGGGTTACAAAATCAGAACAAGGCAAAACACACGCTGGCTATTAATGGGAGGCCTGTTGTGGGCCAACACATTGGGAGGATTGTTCTGCAGGGAGCGATGTTTTGAGCTCCCAGATCCGCCAATGATAGAGTCTGCAGGGAATCTCCTCCATGCAAATGCCATTGGGAACATCTGGCTTTAAATAACATTCGTTCTTCTCCATTTAGCAAATCAATTCTGTTTTGTTTTTGCCTTGGATAGTCTTCAGTTCTGTTTCCTCTGTTGCTTGGGAGGGCAAGGCTAGTGTGTGTGGCCCTCCTGGGTTACCCAGTTGGTAACCGCACAGCTTTTAATTTGAATTATTTAAATAAAAGAACAGAGAATGGTGTGCCATTTATACCCCAAATTCTCCTTACAAGGAGAAAATGCATTCTGAATGAAAACTGTGTACACTAGTTCACTCAGGAGGCTAAGTAAAGTGAGTTCTGGGGATCATTCATCTGGGACAATCCCAGCACCTTTCACAGGCAGGGTAACATCCAGTCAAGTCAGATTGTGTTTTATGGCTTCTGCAATGTAAGCCTATGGTCCTCATCCCAACGTTCCTATCTACTCAGCAGCTAGTGGTCTCAGGGGACGGCGAGCACAGCACGGTGTTTTTGTTGACACTCCATCTCTGTGGTGCATGTGTCTCCCGTACTTTACCTCGAAAAAGGAATGGATGCTTCCCTGGCTTACAGGATTGAGTTGCACAACCACATCAAGTTGTTTTCTGGGGTAATGTAACACGCAGCCACTTTGCTGTGTCAACACATCTTCTCATTTCAGCATGATCTCCACTAATGGAACTAGGAGAGAAAGGTTGATCCCAAACAGCTTGAGCCCCTTACACACCACAAACTGAAAGAGATGCCTCAGAAATCTGTCCTCCTCACCAACTCTGAACTCATTTAACAGGAATCATGGGACCAAAATACTTCTGAGCCAATACACAAACACAAATCTGTTTGCTGTGGTAGGAAATGAGCTCTTCTCACACCAAACACCCAGATGGAAAGTGATGTCATTTGTATAGCCATTCAGGCTTATTTAGACGGCATAAAATTAAATCCAACCCTTCTGAGGAAAGAAGGGGCAAAATCATCCCTCCTGCTTACTTACCCACCCAGAGCCACTTTAAATAGAAACGAAGGGTTTAGCCACAGAATAAAGCAGGGAGACAGGCACTCACTGTGCTTTGTAACCCTTGCTCCTTGGGGGCAAGACAGCAGGGTCAGGACTCGGGAGAAGCTGCTGCATCACTCAGAGCAGCGCAGCTCCCTCGCAGACCTCGGTCAGCAAGAGGAGACACGAGGCAGCAGCATCCACAGCAGGTCTGAGTCTTGCTTCTTCCAGCATCCTCAGGCAGAGTGGTCAGAGGCGATGGCAATTCCCAGTGTAACCCAGACCCAAATTCCTGTTCAGATGCCAGGCTGTGAGTTACAGCACATGAGGAGTATCTATACACAAGCAAGCAGCACAGTGGATAGCTGGCATCTGTAACCTCTTTGGCTACTGCAACTAAATCCAACCAGGCTCAGGAGTCAGAGACCTCCGCCACGACTCTGGGAATCACTTCTGACCCCAGGAAGCAGTTCAGCAGAAAGCACCAAGGAAAGACCACAGCAGCTGGAAGGAAGACACAGCCTGCAATCTCCAAAGGGAATTCATTAAATGGAGACAGCACAGAATTATTCTGCGAGAACATGAAGGCGCACGGCTTGATGTGGTCGGATAAGCGTCAAGAGAGACGTTCTAGGCTGAAGAGAAGAAAGAGCTTGTGGCACTGATATGACCACTGAATACTTGTCTGTGGGAGATGAGACAGAAGTAGTTGCTTGGGACCTTTCAAAAAACAGCCTGGATAATAACACTGGAAAAAGAAACCTTTCCTGTAGGGATGAAGTTTACGTTGGCAAGAAGTTGAACTGCATGAGCTAATAGGATGCTTCCATCCAAGGGAAATAACTTACCCTTTTTCCTGGCTTGAGCAATGACATCAGCGGCACTTTTGCTCATCACCTTGGTGATATAAAGGGGGCAGTTGGTTTGGTTGGCGATGGTTATTGCCCGGTTCACAGCCTCTGCCTCCACCTGAGAAACAAAGTCAGCAGCAAGTGAGTAATATCCCCACATGTTAGCATCTCCCATTCACCTTCAGAGGGTCACAGCCTCTGCTTTCACGAGAAAACAGGGTATGCAGGTCCGAGATGAGACACTTTCCACCTCTTCGATTCTGAGACAGAAAAATATACAGTGTAATCACGATAATTAAAATGACATTAAGCCGCAGTCCCCTCTCCTTACTACCTTTTCTCCCAGGCTGCTTCAAAGTTTCTCTGCAATCAGACCAAGTCCTAAAATAACACCCCAGGTGCTCAAGGTCAGAATGATTAAGCCCCTTCTTTAACCTAGACAAAAATACGCAACTAAATGTTGACTCAACAAAACTATTCATGTTCCAGCCTACGCGGAAGAGAGATGCTGTAGCCACATACTCTGGTAAGCCACGTTTGCAAACCAGCCTCCTAAATTGTACCCTCCACTGCAGTATCTGGCTTGGGATCTAACAGAGTGTGAACCGCCCCATAAATCAACTACTTTTTCTTGCATATGTTGGGAGATAACCTCAGCAAGACTGAGGGCCACTTTATAACTACAGTCCTAGAACGAACGTCATCACTCTGCAGGCTTTTACACATCACACATCCTAATCCCAGCAGTCCAGATGACAGATTTAACAACAGGGTAATGCTCATAGTGCCTACTGCCATGGAGAACTGAGCCTGCAATACCACAGACATTTTCCTACTGAATAACCCAAGAAATTTAAACCCCGAGCAGTCAGCCACCTGATCCCCAAATGCAGGAGGCTTTCAGCAGCTCCTGTGGACTCCAGTGGGACTGGCACACGCTCAGCACCCTTGAATCACAGAATGGTAGGGGTTGGAAGGGACCTCTGTGGGTCATCTAGTCCAACCCTCCTGCCGAAGCAGGGTCACCTACAGCAGGCTGCACAGGACCTTGTCCAGGCAGGTCTTCTGCTCTGCAGTGACTTATTGCAGGCCAAGCACTGTAAACCACCACCAGTCCCAGAACTGGAATGCATTGACTGCTGCGTCCTAGCATCGTGCTTGATCCACTGAAAGAAGTACCTGAAATTAAGGACTCCTCAGCTTAGGAAACAGTGTATTCGCCACACTGATGTCCCAGTGCCCAGAACAGCCCTGCTCACACTGACAAAGCCACCCCCTGCAACACTGCTCTGTTTGCAGCTGGACTGCTCGAGAAAAACACCACCACAACAGCTGGGAGTTTTTAAAAGAAAGCCAGCAGGTTGGTCTCTAGTGCCAAAAGGGTTAAAGTCCTCGCCTGTCACCACGCCAGGGTTTGTGACTAACCCTCCCCAGGCAGGGTGATGTGCAGAAGGGGACATTTTCTGGCCCAACTGCCTCACGCAAATGGAAAAGGCTGCGAGGAAGGGTGTTTATTCCAGAACATTTGACTCCAGTACGTCACAGCCAGCAGCACTTGCAGGGAAGACGGAGGCTGAAAGAAGAGCCAAGAAAAGCATACTGGTCCCTCCTGAGAGAGAAGGAGAGAACTAGGGCGAGCCAATGCTGCCAGGCCATGGCATCAGTTTGCAGACTGCCCATTTAAAGCAGGCCTGCGTGCAGCTCTGTCACTGCAGCGCTTAGAAATCACGTTTCCATGCCGTGCCTTAGTTTCCCCACTTGCAAAGCAGGGATAAAACAACTCACCTCTCCAGACTTCTGACCAAAAGGCATTTGAGCAACTGCTAAGTGGGAGGAGAATATTTTCTGCACAGAAGAGAATAGGGCTGCTGAATTCATGCCTTGTGCCCAGATGCTATGGTGACAGGCACATAACAATAACCCAACGACTAGTCCAAAGGGGAATGTTTGCAATTACCAGTATGCATTAGAAGCCCTAGCACAGCAGTTCTCTTGGAAAAAAAGACAGACATTTCCTGAAGCACTTGGACTGCTTGTGCTTTCAGCGTTTTTGTGGCTAAAATAAAAAACAAAAAATGATGGATGGTTCCAAAAAGTCATCACAGAACGATCTGAGCTATGAGGGGGAGAGTTTTCCAGAAAGTGATGGGTGATGCTGATTTGGGGTGGTGATGTCTTAATTAAGGCTCCCTTTGCTGGCTGTAACAATGTGCTGAATACCATCACCTCAGCTCAACTCAGGTTACTGAGGTGAGCAAGCTGAACCCATGAGTCAGCAGCGAAACTTAAGGCTTAATTCATGCCTTCAGCTCAACCTGGCAATTCAGAAGATGTGCACGCTCCAAGTAAGACACAAATGCACGTGGCCAGACCCTGAATGCTTCACTCTGATGTCAGTCTCACTGAACTGAGTAGGAGTTTTGATTTAATAAATGTTTTAGACTCGTTGAACAACCCCTGCTAGTTTGCTGTAGATGGAGGTCTGAATTAGGCAGCTCTCTTCAGTAAGATGATAACCATCATGAAGTCCTTAGGACTCCATAAGAGTCAGTGCAAAGAGCCAATTCTAGTGTTAACAGCATCCCAGAAGGATATCAAGAAATTCCCACTCCTACTGAAGTCCACAGGATCTGCTGCCACCCTCAGAATCCAGCCTTTGTCATCAGCCAGCTCAAAGGGAGTTGGATGTTTTTAAAAACACCAAGTTACACCAGCATTGGAGAGAAGAAGGGGAGGGAACCAGATGACATCGTTTCCTGCTCTGTTTCCTATGACTTCCAAGCAGAAGAATTTTGGACCAAATGCTTCCATCCTGGGCAGACAGCACAGCTGAGATCAGTTGCCCAGTGACACTGAGAAGAGGCTTTACTGATCCTCGTCTGAGGCAGCCGCACGTCCTCAGGCAGCCTTCCTTGCTGTACTGAGAAAAAACACATTTCTGCACAGATGTAACAAAACAACCAAGCCAGGGAACCACAAAGTTCACACTTTAAAGTTCCTGCTCCAGTAAGGATAAGCTTTGAAGTAGCCAGACTAGACTTGGCCAGTTTGAAAGTCAGATCCTTTAAGGTAAGGAACAGCCTTCCTTTGAAGTCACAGGAGTTTAGGGGTGCTCCACAGATGAGCCCCAAGTATCATGTCAGCATCTGTTCCTGCTCTCCTGATGCAAACCAAAAAATATGTCTAAAAGAAAAAAAAATAAGCAGAGGTGGGTGGAAAGCTCAGTGCAAGTGTTTGCTCACAACTTCCAGGAAGCAAAAAATCCTAGCTCCCGGAGCCAAACACAAATTCTGTGAGCATTCACATACTGCCCAAGCCAAGTATTTTTTTTTTTTAACTCCCCTTCTACATGAGGCAATTGGATGATTTATATTTCTACTGAAACATCTCTGGATGCTGCCTGTCTGAACCCAGGGAAGGAAACAGAGAGGGAGCATGAGGGGCGCGTGTGGATGATCTCACACACCCAGCTGCCACATCTGGCAGTCAGCAAAGTCCCAGTATCTTGGAGGAACAAAAGGAACAGCTTGAACCCAACGGATGGACTTCGCAAACCCAGAATGCCATGGTGAAATGTCTAGCTTAGAGATACTGAAAGACCAGAAATGAAGAATGCATCGGGAACCAACCTGAAAAGCAAAGTTTTAAGGTTCTTGCTTACTCTTGAGGCTTAGTTTAAAGACTCGGAGGGAGTGAGAGGGACTGGGGTGCTTGACCCTAGCGAAACCAGTGGAGAAGTATGGAGCTTAACTGTATTAAAGTGCTGGGCTAGGATCTAAGAATTAGCTCCCCTTTCTCGTACATACTTTCTGTGCCCTCAGCAAACCGCTTAGGCCCGTGGTATAAAAAATCCACCACCGGTAAAATGTTCATCAAATGACCAATTATTATGGTAATGGAAGCTATGTAAGTGCCTAAGACAGAATGTCAGGATCTGGGCATATCTTAAAAATTTCTGCTGATTCAGAAGAATCCTTGATAAAATAAGGACTAAGAGAAAATCCCATGAGACGGGATCTAGAAAAGTCAGCGCCAGAATCCTGCCTACATAAACCGAAACTCTGAAGTCTTTACTCATGCAAAATTCAACCAAAAGTGACAGGAAATTACAAGAACTTCATGATCCAGCTATGTAAATACCAACCTCACCGGAATGTGTAATTCTTCAGGGACTCTACCTTAAAGTGTTCCTGCACAGCAGCTGCATCAAGGAATTGGTGATTCAGGCAGGCTGTGCTCTACCTGTGCTTCAAGTTTAACATTTTCTACATCTCCTAATGCAGAATTTCAGTTTAGGCTATCAAAAGGCTGAACTGAAGATGTGCTAAGTACCAAGAGCTCTCTGCATCTTGAGTGCTTATCATGGGCTCTGTGGTTCAAACACACCTCACCACACTTTAGCTACTGATGTGTGAGGAGATCCTTTATAGACTATCTCCCATAATTGTCAGAAAGAAATGAGCTTTTCCAGAGGCTGAATCAATCCTAGGCTGGATGAACTACTCCCTGGAGGTGTTCTGTTCTCCAGTACGGAAGCTGAGGGAGCTCCTCAATTCCATACCCATTGCAATACCCACAGCAGCCAGTCTCTAGAAGGGACTAGTTAGTCCCTAGAAGTGTCTTAGCCTCTTCCCTTAACCCATGCAGCAATAACATTTACAGCCAGGATGAAATTGTGTTTCTGGCCACATTCATCCCAGTACGAAGTACTTGATGGCAATGCAGAAATGTTATAAATTGGGAGAATAAATGCAAAGGCAGCGAAGTCCTCACCTCTTCAGGTCTGCTTAACACATGCCCTTCAGGCCCTGTAATCCCCAGTTCCAGGATCCTTTGCTGCTCCTAAGGCAGAGAGAAAAAAGAGCAGGAAAAAGATTTAAAGCAACACGCATTTTCTTCTTGCAGCAAACACAGCTGTTTGAAAGAGGTACAAGTGAGATCCTAAGCATCTGTGCTCGCTAATAATCACATGAGGCTTTACATAAGGGCCTTACAACTAGAGTCCTGTCCAGCTTCCCCTGTTGAGAATAACCAGAGCTCACAAAACCCTTGCTGATTTGTTCACAGGAGGTCAGGGAAACCTTTTATTTTGATTTGCTTCTCACTGGGTTCATAGCCCCTCAACTCTGACCACTCATTTGCATCTTTAAAATAATCCGCAAGATGTGGCAAAAACGTTGTCTCGTGAAAAAACCCTCCCGCAACTGCAGGTGACTGGGCTCAAAGACTCAGGTGGGCTCTTCCCCAGTCAGGCAATGCAGAAATCCCCTGCAACACCAAATTCTGCACGCTTGAGACATAACACATAAAATGAGCTGGAGAGCAGATTAAATCCAAATAACATTATGAGCATTTCTTCTTCCCTGCTGTTTAAAGAATGAACAGATCTGAAGTTATTTCCCTTCCCACTCCCGCCAGTCTCAGCTTCCGCAGAACATGCTGCTGTACACAGTGACAATCGCACCCAGGCACAGTCTTTGAGTTATGTGGAGAAAGGCAGAGACAGCCTATGTCCACCACAAACTGACAGCTGCCACAAAAACCTGCTTTATCAGTGACAATGAAGGGGATAAGATTTGATGCACAGTTCTTGCTTGCATTCTTGATACTGCTATGCCATGCCAGAAGTCTTGGGTGATTTTCCATTTGCAAAGAAGGATTCAGAGTTTAAAACCCTCCCAGCATTTTGAAGTTAGTAATCCACAGAATAAACATGACATACCTCAGCAATGATGTCACCATTCTCAGCATGCACTTGAGCTGTCGCACCAATATCCCGGATTACACTCAGGACCTCATATATCTGCAAGACAGAAATCACATGTTACAATATATACTGAGCATCCACTCAGGTACACACCTATTATATAGCATACGCTCCAGACTTCTCCAGCATACAGAATTTTCCAGAATGGAAAAGATAAAGGGAAGCATTAAGAAATATAAGCTGTGGTTTGCTGGATAGATAAAATCCATTTTCCTGCCTACAAGTGGATTTCCCAACCTGTGCAGTCGGATACTACTGGTATGGCAAAGAGCACTATTCAAAAGCCAGGTTTGGTATATTTACAACACTGGAGGAAGAAACAGAAACTGCACAGGCCTACACCTGGAGTGGTTTTAAGAAGCTTTCAGAGGCGGATTTGTTTCCTGCCTTCTGGTGCCTGGTGTGAAAAAAAAACACACCCTTACATCTCATTTTCAGAGAACCTGCACCTGCCCCTCTCACTGCCTAGGACAGGAGCAGTGTGAGTTCCCACTCCAGCAACCAGTCTAAGAGGGCTCAGGTTGAGTAACCCACAACTGACACCAGCTCTGTCAACTGTCACTCATTAAAATGCTTACCAGAGTCATTAGAGATAACTGTCATACACCACTGCCTCCTACACTGTTCCAAATGACTCCCAGGCATTCCTCTCCTCCCACCACATTTAGAAATATAAACTGCCCATCTCAACAATTAAATGTACCCAAACATATCCACTAGAACAGCAGAGGGCAATTTCATTTTAAGGTCCCAGCACTTCTAACGCTGAAGCCAGATACCCACTTCTGGACCAGGACCAGTCCCAGCTTACAAATGGTTATGCCAGAGATCTCACTGTCCTGCCCTGCGCCTAGGAATAAAGCAGCAATTTATAAAACTGTCACTGCTTCCACACTAAAGGAGCTGGAACAAAACCTTAAGTCTCCCAGAATGAGAGTTTTGCCATTGTTTTCCCCAGCCAGCCTGTCAGGGTTTGTTGTTGGTTGTTTTTTTTTGATTAAAGAAAGAAAAAAAAAACACAGCCCAAACACAGCCCTTCAAACCAGAGCTCCGGGTACACTGCAAACCTTAGGTACTGTTATGCCTACAAAGACTGAAACCAGAAGAAAACACCAGATCGAAATGTATTGAATTTAAACCCTTATATATGTGATTAATGCACAGCTTGCAGTGACAGAAGCATGTGAACATAAAGACTTCCTACCTGAGAATCAGTTAGCTGAAAGCGATCTTTGAAAGCCATGTAAACCAAAAAGGAGTTCACACCTGGCAGAAAGAGGCAAAGGAGTTATCTTTGACAGCCAAATGGCAGGCACAGATAAAGCTACAAAGCTCACTGCTCCTCACAGAGAGAGGACGTCCCCACCAGTCAGCCCCCCAGCAAGCAGTAACGATGGGTAGGCAAATAAATTACTTGAATCTGCTATGAAATGTGTACACAGATGTGCGTGCACACAGACACACGCACACTCAACAGATCACAGCGAGAAGCCAGGATCTCCACAGCCATGTGGCATTTATTAACACAACTGATGAGAACGGAGGAGCCTGCACTCCAGCCGTGAGGACAGCTAAAGCCCTAAGCTTCCACTTAACACTGAAATAAGAATAATTCTGTGGATTCAGCACTGTAGGAGGTTGAGTAAAAAAAACAAGCAACATGCATCACACACAAAAGCAGAGACTGGGCCTGGCTGCCTGATCGCCCACTACCTCCTGCGAGAGCGACGGGAAATCTGTGTCCGTAGGCACGTCCTCCTCCACCGCATTCGTACTGACCAAGACACGGGGAGGTCTTGTAACTCAGCCTTCCCTCTCCTGCCCTCCCAACCAGTAAATGCTCTTATCCAGCACATGTGGGAAAGCACTCATTAGGATGTAAAAGGTTGGATTTTTTAAACTACAAACAGGATGGAAAATTACTCTAGCCTAAGGATGAAACGTCAAAGAAATTCAAGAGGGGAAACACCTATGAGGTCATTCTGTTCACCTCTTCTCCACTTGTAGCATTCAGTGCTGGACTGTTCCTTCTGGGCCTGAACCTTCCCCTGTTTACAACAGTTTAATGGCCAAACCCATCACCTACCTGCACCAACGAAAATCAAAGGACTCCTCTGAACAAAGGCGGGCCTCTGCACGGCAGCAGCAAGAGATTCACCTCTGCAAAGTCCATGCTCACCACCTAACACACTGCAGCAACACCAGCGTGTACCATGCCCCCCCCCCCAACCGTGACTGTCCAAACCTCCACAAGAAGCCAAAATGGGCCAAGTTAAAGTCAGGGCTGAGAACAGCTTTACTGAGAGTAAAATATTTTGCAAGAGCCAGTCCTAAAAACTAAGGACAGGAAAGGCTTCTCTGAACTTCAAATAACTGAACTTACCATGATCTTTAACCAGAGCTTCCATCTCCTCCTGGACACCTTTGTGCCACTCGGTGATATCCACGTGCAGGGAGTAGTCGCAGCAGGACTTGCTGTCTGCCCATTCTCGCCACTGGTCGAATGCAGTCAGCAAACTGGTCCCTGGCTCAGGAACCACGTGATCAACTGGGAAAGACAACCGAAGCATTAGTAAATGGCTGGCGCAGTAGCTTTCCTGGATGTCCAAGACAGAACGCATGCTTTGCAGAGGCTGCTGCAAAAACAAGACATCCCTTCCCTCTTAAAATATGTGAGTTTGAAAGTCTTGGTTTCTAAAGCCCCACATCTGAGAATGCAGCCAGGAAGCTGACTCGGGAGCCAAAGCTGAAGGAAACAGTTCAGTTACTACAGCCCGCGTACTGCAATTGTTTGTGAATGAAGCAAACGCAACTCCCAGGGCAGCAAACCCAAACCACTGCAGAGCGCTCTATAAACGCCGCTCCCGTTTGGTGACAAATGAACGGCCACACAGGCAAGACCCCCTGTGTGCATCAGTCAGCAGCTCTCAGTACTCAGCACCTCATGTTCAAGCAGGGCCTTCGTCCGTGCTTCTGGACATGCTAGAAAAGGCATCCAGAGACGTATTACTGCTGGCCTGTACGCAGCGACAACCAAGGACTCCACGCACGTATCAGAGCTGCTTTGTGCTAGCATCCCAACCAAGAGAACCTTCCAGAGACGGCATACGAGTGAGGACTGGAAGGAACAGGACCAACAGCCCGTCATGGCTGGAGACACCTCCTGACAAGATGGTCCTGCTTCCCTCTGGCTTCTGCTCAGTCTGATCCTCATTCTAGCCCAACACATTAGGTCCAGCAGCAACTGGGCTCATGGGCAGTGACAGGATACTGCACCAGTGCTAGAGATGCAGAACACCCTCCAAGGGTAACGAAAGAGATTTGGATCTGAAGGTTTAGTGCTCCTCTCAGTAATCTGAATAGCATTCAAATTTTTATTTGAATGCACGGGATCTCTACGATCTTCACTAGACACAATAAAAAAAAAAGAAAGCCAATATCTTAGGAACTGAAACACTGCTGAGAGAGCAGGAAAAGCCTGCGGGACTTCAGGGGTCACCAACTGGGCAGGCACTGCTGGTGAGGCGGAGAGCGCCCTGGCTTGATTTTATAGTAAATCACACAAAAAATAAAAAGTTGCTTCAACAATCAGCAGAGAAATTAAAGGAATTTATTTTTAACTTTACTGGTGAGTATCTGGCCTCCCATCAGCTCAGAGGTAGCTCTAAATCACAACTGGGTAAGAGACAAGTCCTTGGGCCCTACTCGCTCTCAGTGAAGTACAAAGCTTTGCTTCACCCCCACGCAGACACATCGGCCTGGATTTACTGTTTTTGCAGTGCCTTAAGAACTGGATTTACATCGGGAGCTCTCGGCCCACTGCAAAAGCAGCACTGCTCTCCTGAATGACCCTGAGCTTCAGCCACCCAAGTCGGTAACGACATCTCCAGTGTCT